TCGAGCTTTTGTCCGCGACACGTCCGCGGACAAGCTCTCGCGTCGCGCTGTTCCCTGTGTCTTTCTTGGCTTTGTTCCCGACGCGCCTGGTTGGCAGTTTTACCACGTCACCTCGCGCCGGGTTCTGGCCTCTCAGGACGTCACTTTTGACGAGTCCGTCCCCTTCTACCGCCTCTTCCCCTACCGCACTACCCCGCTCCCCCCCCGCCTCTCTTCCTCGCTCCAGGTGCTGAGGTACCAGACCCCCTCCCCCCTCAGGGTGCCGCTCCCTCAGGTGTGTCCCAGGTAGACCCGGGTGAGCCTGTCGAGGTAGCTGTTGACTCGCGTCCTGCGTCTGGGGGTGCTGAGCCTGGGAGTACTGCGTCTGAGGGTGCGGAGCCTGGGGGTGCTGAGTCTGGAGGTGCGGAGCCTGGGGGTGCTGAGCCTGGAGGTGCGGAGCCTGGAGGTGCGGAGCCTGGGGGTGCTGAGTCTGGGGGTGCTGAGTCTGGGGGTGCTGAGCCTGAGCGTGCTCCACCTGGAGGAGCCCTCTCCTCCCAGCAGCTGCAGGAGAGGTACCTCGAGTACTGCCGCCTCCCGAGAGGTGCTTCTGGAGCTCGTCCCGGTACTTCCCCTCCTACCCAGGAGCTCCCCCCCATTCAGGTGATCCGCGAGTGGTACACGCGGCGCTGCAGTCTTCGTAGTGGTGCTCCTGGTGCTGCGGACCCGAGCAGTGGTGCTGTTGCTGGTGCTGAGGACCCGGACGCTGGAGCTGCTGCTGGTGCTGAGGACCTGGGGGCTGGAGCTGCTGCTGGTGCTGAGGACCCGACCGGTGGCGCTGCTGCTGGTGCTGAGGACTCGGGCGTTGGAGCTCCTACTGGTGCTGAGGACCCGGGCGTTGGAGCTGCTGCTGGTGCTGAGGACTCGGGCGTTGGGGCTGCCACTGGTGTCCCTGCTGCTTCTGGAGACGCTGCGCGGCCGCGACCGTACTTCATACCGCTCCTTCAGCAGGTTCTTGGTCAGGCTCCTCCTCCTAGTCCTCCTCCCTCCGTCGAGTGTCCTCTGCCTGTCCAGCCGCAGTCACAGTTACCGCCTGCCTCGCCTCTCCCTGCTCCCTCCCCTTACGCTGGTCCCACAGGAGGTCTTACAGAGCGTCGTGAGCCTGAGTCTCGTCCTGCGTCGCCTGTTCGTACTGCTCGCACTGGTCGTCGTGTCCCACGTGAGCGTCCTCCTCCTGTCCCTGGCACTCACTACATGACTCTGCGTCCCTCCACTGCTCCGCAGCGTGTCCCGCTGCCGTCTCCTCCTGCGTCCTCTCTTCCTACTCTTCCTGACCCGGAGTCTGACTCCCGTCGTGCTGCCAGTCCCACTGTTACGCGTCTCCTCGCTACAGTTGTCACTGACCCGACCTTTGAGTCCTCTGCTGCGTCTGCTCTGGTCGCTGAGTTGGTTGACTTTGCTGCTCGCTGTCGCCTAGACTACGCTGCCAGCCTTGTCGCTAGGTCTGAGTCTGCGTCTGCCTGTCCTCCGTCCGTCGGGGGTGAGTGTGCCCTCGGCACGGACGTCCTTGAGGACAGACAGGAGGAGTTCCACTGCCTTGCTGCTGCTTTGCCCCGTCTCGTGTCCTTGCTAGTTGCCCCTGAGGGAGACCCGGATGCACCAGACATCCCGACCCCACGCTCTTACGCTGAGGCGATGGCGGGTCCCTACTCCTCTCAGTGGCAGACAGCCATGGACGCAGAGATGGCCTCCTGGAAGTCCACAGGCACCTACGTAGACGAGGTTCCCCCTCCTGGGGCGAACATCGTCAGTGGCATGTGGATTTTCAGGGTGAAGCGGCCGCTGGGTTCTCCGCCTGTCTTCAAGGCGCGCTACGTGGCTCGAGGCTTCAGTCAGCGAGAGGGAGTAGACTTCTTTCAGACCTTCTCCCCCACCCCGAAGATGACTACTCTTCGGGTGCTGCTGCACATAGCCGCTCACCGCGACTACGAGCTTCACTCTCTTGACTTCAGCACTGCTTTCTTGCAGGGCAGCCTGCACGAGGAGATCTGGCTGCGCCGCCCCCCTGGCTTCACTGGGTCAGTTCCTCCTGGCACCCAGTGGAGGCTTCAGCGGCCGGTCTACGGTCTCCGCCAGGCGCCACGTGAGTGGCACGACACACTGAGGACGACACTTGCGGCTCTTGGGTTCGCTCCCTCTACTGCTGACCCGTCGCTGTTTCTACGCACCGACACCTCGCTGCCGCCGTTCTACATCCTCGTGTACGTCGACGACTTGGTCTTTGCCACTGCTGACACCGCGGCACTCGCTCACGTGAAGTCGGAGCTGCAGAGGAGACACACGTGCACAGACCTGGGTGAGCTGACGAGCTATCTTGGCTTGCGGATCACCCGGGACAGAGCACGGCGCACCATCACCCTGACTCAGTCACACATGGTGCAGCAGGTTCTCCAGCGCTTCCGCTTCACGTACTCCTCGCCTCAGTCCACTCCTCTGCCTACCGGTCACTCGCTCTCAGCTCTGCCTTCGGATGAGTCCGTAGAGCCGAGTGGCCCGTATCCAGAGCTTGTGGGCTGCCTCATGTACCTGATGACCTGCACTCGACCTGACCTTGCATACCCTCTTAGCATCCTAGCACGCTATGTCGCTCCTGGCCGTCACCGGAAGGAGCACATGGATGCTGCTAAGAGGGTGTTGCGCTACTTGTGCAGTACGTCGGGCATGGGGCTTGTGCTTGGAGGGCGAGACCGGGTTGTTCTCACAGGGCACTCAGACGCTTCTTGGGCAGACGACCAGGCTACTCAGCGGTCGTCCCAGGGTTACACCTTCAGCCTTGGCTCTGGCTCAGTTTCTTGGCGTTCTACTCGCTCTTCTTCTGTTCTCAGCTCCAGTTGTGAGGCTGAGATCTACGCCACAGCCATGGCTGCTCAGGAGCTACGCTGGCTGACCTACCTGCTGACCGACCTCGGAGAGCGGCCTCGTTCTCCTCCAGTGCTGTACGTCGACAACAAGGCTGCCATTGCCTTGTGTGAGGAGCACAGACTGGAGCACAGAACGAAGCACATCGCTCTGCGGTACTTCCTTGCTCGAGAGCTGCAGCAGCGTGGTCAGCTTTGTCTGCGTTACGTGGCCACGGAGGCCAACACTGCTGATGTGTTCACCAAGGCGCTTCAGCCTTGTGACCATCAGCGCTTTTGCACGCTGCTAGGCCTTGTACCTACTGGGCCTCACTTGCTTACCTCTTGACCTTGCTTGTACTGTGATCACTATATATATATGCCTACTTGTTTACTTTTGCTAGGTTGTGATCACTGTATCTCTTGCTTTGTTATAAACCTGCATGTGAATTGGTCTTGTGACCGCTTGCTTGTGCTCGGAATTTGTGTGGAATCCTTGAGATCCACCCTGAGCTTGCTTTGCTTTGCTTTGACTGGTCTTGTGACCCTGTGGTTGTCTCCCACTGCGCCTATGGGGGTGTGTCAAACATTGCATGTTTATATTATGTAGGCTGTAGTGGGTTACACCTTAGGGGGTACTCAAAGTTAGGGTTTCCTACTTGTACCAAACTCTGTGCTAGTTCATCCCATTCCTGCTCAGTTATTCTGACAGCTTGAACTCCTGAGTGGTGCTGTCGGCTTCAAGGTGAATCCCCTTCGCCATGAGTTGACTGACGCTGAGTAAGTTGTAGCCGAGTCCCTCTGCAATCAAAACCTTTGACAGCTGTAGGATAACATTAGTCTCGTGTGATTGAAGTTGAACTATCCCTTGTCGTCGTGTGCGCAGGTTTTGATTGTTGGCGACGGTGATGAGAACTTCACGGTTGAACGAAGCGACCTGAAGAGCACATATGTTGCCTGCAGCAACTATCCAAGAACCAATTATCCTTCCCAGATGGTTCGCTCTGGGCGATGGCTGCGTATGTCAGGTTCGGCTCTAGTGATTCGCGACGAGGTGTTCGTTCGTCGAGTAGTTCTTCCAGTGAGTAGGTTGGTGGTGATTCGGTGACGCATGAGTCTGTTCGTGTCATGCAGCTGACGATGTTTCTCGTCTCTTGTGCAGGTCGTGGTGTTGCCTTCAAAACCTGTGTCTGGTTGGACGGCTGCGTTGAAGTCACTTGACTGCTTAAAGGTCGAAGTTGGCGTGGTGGTGGCGTTGACTACTGCTGGTTTGGGCAGTGAATACGGGAATGACCAGATGTTCGGCAGAGGTGACAGAACGGTGGTACGTGTCTTGGTTATTGATGCGTGTGTTGTCGGTTGTTGTTGTTGTTGTGGCGTCATTGTGTGTGGAAGGCGAACTTTGGTACTGATGTCTTTCTCCTGTGTCGTTCTTCGTGTAGGTCCATGTCTTGTTGCTCGGCGTGAATTTCTGCGCAGAGTGCTGCTTCAGAGATTTTTCCATGGGCTCGGAGAATGGCCCGAGTGGAACGCCACTGAGGACCGAGACCTGTGATGACGACAGTGACTAAGGCCTTTTTGGATAATGACCCACCGCATCGATGGAGTCTGTTGCGTAGATTGCGACAGCGACTGATATATGCCATCCCCTTTTTGCCGGTTTGCATTTGGACTGTTGTCAATTGCACTATGAGACGACTTTGATTTACGCTGTCGTACGCGACCTCGGTAGAGTTTCCGTATCCGCGATAAGACCGAATGTTCTGCTGCTCATTTGCCGTTAAGTTTCGCAGGAGAAATGTGTACGCCATCAGTAACTGATACGTGTACTGCTGCTTGTCGTATTGTGTCCCGTGCGTTGGGTATGGCAGGGACCTGTCGAAGAAGCCAAGGATTTGAGCGCCTTCCATCATTAGCTCGAACTCAAAAGGTGTTGTCTTTTGTAGTTTTAGAACGTGTGCAAACTGTGTCTACAGCTGAAGCACGTCCATTGGCTTTGTTTCTTGTCCAGGTGCAACTGGGAGTCGATTCGGCATGATGCTAATGGAGTTGCGTTGAGGTTCGTACGGCGCGAAAGTAGTCTGCTGGTTTTCGCGCGCAAAGGATGAACCATCATGACTCATGGGGTTAACGCCATTGTTGTTGTTGTTGTTGTTGTTGTTGTTGTTGTTGTTGTTGTTGTTGTTGTTGTTGTTGTTGTTGTTGTTGTTGTTGTTGTTGTTGTTGTTGTTGTTGTTGTTGTTGTTGTTGTTGTTGTTGTTGTTGTTGTTGTTGTTGTTGTTGTTGTTGTTGTTGAACTTCGCATGTACCGTTTGTTGTTGTTGTTCGTAAAACGACATGAAGGAGAAGAATTTCTCCATCATGCTTGGGTCGAAGCCGGTTGCTTGATTGACAAGTGTTTCAGTGGATTCAGCAGCTGGTCTTTGGTTTGAGCCTCTCTCTGTCTGGAGTTCAGGGGCTGGAGGTGGAGTAGGAGTAGCACCAGGGGATCCAGTAGATGAGCGGTGCTCTTTCTGCGTTGCCATACCGTCAGTCGTTGTAAAGAATTGGGAAATGTTGAATCTTGTCTTGCTAGCTCTCATACCATGTTGGGCTGAGAAAAGCCCTTAGGATCGTTTTCAAGACTAAGACTTAGGATGATGTACTTTAGCGGAAGCGTTCTTAGTGAACTGGTCTGAACCACCTTGTGCTGGTGTATGAGGACAAGATAAGTTGATTATAGCAAAGTGATACGAAGCTCTTTATATGATTATAAAGGAATATGAAAAGTTTTAACTAGCTAACCGCTGTTGTGACTGCTGCTGTTGCGGTTCGATACAGCGACGACTCGGGTAACTGCTCAATAACGAGTCAGTTATTTGTCCTTGATGTCGCACTGCTTTCGGCGAGTCAAAGGTCGCTGACCTTTGACCTTCGCTCAACTTCTTACTGTTGTCTCGTGTCTCGAGGTTGACTCTCTTTGTAGCTTCGCTGTAGTTTGTTTCGCTTTCGTAGTATTCCTCGATACCGTAATCACCCAGACATACCACCCGCCGAAATTGAAGACCCCCCGGGTGGCTTGTGCGGGGTGGGTGCTATAGCGGACCTCGTTTCTACTATACCCCCCTTTTGGGCCGATTGGGGGGGGGGGGGGGGGGGGGGGGGGGGGGGGGGGGGCGGGGCAAATTTGCGCACCAAACCAAATTTGTGTCATTGAGTGTGCAGGCAAGTGACCGCAACAGTGAAACTGCTGAGCCTATTGCGGGACTCCCGCCTCTGTGACTGCATGAATCCTCGTCGAGCGACGGGGGGTGTGTTTTCAACCAGTCAGGGCATGAACAGAGGGCATGTTGGAGCTTCCAAGCTGGCGGCTTCCACTCGAGGCCAACGTTATCGCCTCATCCTCGGTTTTGCGCACCCAACCAACAATCTACCACCGCAGCAAGCATGTACATTTTGTTCCCAACCGTTTTTGCCTTTCTTTTAAATACCATGTATGGTATATAAGCCCGGGTGTTATGTAGCCTTTTCCTATGCCAAGACCCCACCCCCCCCCCCTTTTTTTGTTGTAGTTATCATAGCACCCTAGGGTGGTATGTGTTGGAAACAAGTGATTTAACGCTTCTGATGTGTCGGAACATCGAACTGCAAGCGAAGCAAACTGTAACGAAGCAACAGGGAGTCAATCGAGGAGGTTGACAAAATGTAACAGCTGGAGGTTGAGCGAAGGTCAAAGGTCAGCGACCTTTGACTCACCAAATACAGCGCAACAGCAAGGACACACAACTGACTCGCTATTGAGCAGTTGCCCGAGTCGTCGCTGTATCGAACCGCAACAGCAAATACAGTTACAAATAGCAGTTAATTAAAACCTTTCGTATTCTCTTGTAATCATATAAAAGCTTGTATCCTTTTTGCTTTAATCAGCTTATCTTGTCCTCATACACCAGCACAAGGTGGTTCAACTCGTTCACTAAAGAACGCTTCCGCAATTACATCATTACTCAGAGTCTCAGTCTTGAAGATCCTAAGGGCCTTTTTCAGCCCAACATGGTATGAGAGCAGGAAGCGAAGACTCAGAGTTTTCTCTCGTTTAACTCTTTACAACAAAGAACATGGCAACACAGAAGGAGCATCGCTCATCGACTAGATCCCCTAGTGCTACTCCTACCCCACCTCCAGCATGTGGACTACAGATAGAGGGAGGCACGACGACAAGACCAGCTGCAGAGTCCAGTGAGATACTCGCAAATCAAGCGACCGGCTTTGACCCGAGCATGATGGAGAAGTTTTTCTCCTTTATGTCTTTCTATGAGCAATTGCAGCAAGCTGCACCTGCACAGTCAAACAACATCAATAACGATGGCGTTACCCCTATGAGTCTCGACGGCTCATCATTTGCGCGCGGAAATCAACAGCAGCCTACCTTTGTACCGTATAAGCCACAGCGCGGCGTCATCAGATTCATGCCGAACTGTCTTCAACTTGGACAAGAACAAAAACCAGTGGATGCAATTCAGTTGCAGTCACAGTTCGCACACGTACTAAAACTGCAGACATCAACGCCATTCGACGGAAAGGACTTCTATACCTGGTCCTTTGAATTCGAGTTAATGATGGAAGGCGCGCAAATCCTCGGCTTCTTCGACGGGTCCGTGCCATATCCAACACATGGGATAGAGTACGACAAACAGCAGTATACATATCAGTTGCTGATGGCCTGAACAATCCTCTTACGGAATCTGACGGCGAACGAGCAGAAGAACATCCGGTCTTATTGAGGATACGGCAACTCTGCCGAGCTCGCGTACAACCACTTGAAGAGCCTGTATCAAGCAAACGACAGCGTTAATCAGAGTCATCTAATGGCACAGCTAATTGCAGTTCAAATGCAACCCGGCGAAAAGGCAATGGCGTATATCAGTAGATGTCGCGGTCTGCGCAACAGGCTTCATCGATGCGGCGGTGCGTCATCCGAGGAAGCCTTTGTAACCGTCGTCCTTGCAGGTCTTGGACCTCAGTGGCGCTCTACTCGAGCTATTCTCTGAAGTCACGGGCAAATCTCCGAAGCAGCACTCTGCGCAGAACTTCATGCTGAACAACAAGACATGGACCTGCACGAAGAACGACACAAGAAAAGGTCAATAACAGAGTTCGCGTTCCACACTCAACGACGCTACAACAACAACAACAACCGGCAGAATAAGCATCAACCACAGCGACATGTACCTTCGTTCTGCCATCTCTGCAAAACGTCAGGACATCCTCGCACCCACTGCCCGAATCAGCAGCAGTCAACACCACCGCAACACCAACTTCGACCTTCGAGCAGTCAAGTAGCTTCTACGCAAGCACACCCCACCAATCAAGTGCAGTCCTCAACGACACCGACAACTCAATCTACACAAGGCACAAGAAATATCGTGAGCTGCATGGCAAGGTTAACAGACTTCTGCATCACAGAGTCGCCGCCACACTACTCACCAGAAGAACTACTCGACGAAAGAACCCCTCGCCGCGAGTCACTGGAACCGAGCCCGACGTACGCAGCCATTGCCCAGAGCGAGCCATCCGGGAAGGACACCTGGTTCTTGGACAGCTGCTGCGGACAGCACATGTGCTCTTCGGGTCGCTTCGTTCAACGAGCGCATCAACTACAGCGTGGAGTTTTCACCATCGTTGCCAACAACCAGAACCTGCGCACACGACGCCAGGGCATAGTTCAACTTCAGTCAAGAGAAACCAACGTCATACTGCAAATGTCAAAGGTCTTAATCGCGGAGGGACTCGGCTACAACTTACTCAGCGTCAGTCAATTGATGGCGAAGGGAATTCATCTCGAAGCAGATAGCACCACGCAAGAGTTCAAGCTGTACCACGGAAAGGGCGGCCTCTACATCGGCAAGGCGGTCTTGAAGAACAACGTCTTCGTTCTTGATTTCGTTCCAGACCAAGGCACCGCCGACAGCGACGCCATCGTCAACTTCACTTCTTGGACACACCCCCCAGATCTTGACCCCGACCTCAGTCCTGGAGGCTTCTGGCATTCGCATACTATACCTAAAGCAGAACGAACAAGAGCATTAGCAACGATTCAACAACTGCCAGTAGCAGAGACAACATCGATGACAGCAGAGACAACTTCGGCAGCAGCAGTAACACCATCAGCAGCAGCAGAGACAACACCAGCAGCAGCAGAGACAACACCAGCAGCAGCGGAAACAACACAAGAACCAGTCGCAGGCCCTTCAACAGCACCACCTCCTCTAGACGAATCAACTCTGACCCCAGCGCAACAGCTGAATCCCGCCCCACGAGCTGTTCACCGAAGTGCCAACCCCGTCGCCGGCTTCTACTCCAACTCCGACCTGTACAGAAGATCACCAGGACACAGGGCAAACGAATCAACGTGGCACGCAAGATTGGGACATCCCAGCAACACAACACTCAACAACACGATAAGAGCGGGCGTTCTTGATAAAGACTCATTACTACTACCCGACGGACGAGAACTACAGCGAGTCCGAGGAACATGCTTCACCTGCCCTAAAGAAGACTTACCCCACCAGCCGTTCGTGTCCCACCACAATCCCAATGCGCCAGCGTACGCACCACTGGAGAAAGTTTACAGCAACATCTTATACGCCCGCAAAAGCAGACAAGGAGCCTTCAACTACGTCATCACCTTCATCGACGCCGCCACTCGATACGTCTGGCACCTCAACCTTCCAAGCCGCGACATGGCCTTCGAAGCCTTCGTCGCATGGCTTCCAGTAGCAAAACGAGAATCAGGTGTGAAGTTGAAAAGTTTCCAGTCAGACGGGGGAGGAGAATATCAGTCACAGCGATTCAAGCAGTACTTAGCAGGGGCATCAAACGACTTATCTCGCTCCCCTACACCCATCAACAACAAGGCGTGGCAGAAAGGATGAACAGAACCCTCCAGACCACCATGCGCAAGCTACTACGTGGCATGCAACTGCTTGATAGCCAATGGCCCGAAGCGATGGACCACGCTGTAATGCTGCACAACTTGCTCTCGTCATCATTGCTCTCGACAACGCATCACCGCACCTGCTGTGGACAGGAAAATTGGGCAACACAAAAATGTTACGAGTTTTCGGCTGCATGGTACAGTACCGACCACACACTGCACGAGCCGGAAGATTTTCGCAACGTGCACAGTGGGGACTACACCTGGGCATTGAAAAACATTACAACGCGTGGAAGATTTTCGACGTCCACTCGAAGGAAACAGTGGCAGCACGTGATGTCATCTTCTACGAACAACTCAGCCTCAACACGTACCTGTACAACTTGGAAACCAACCGAGACCCCACAGGTGGCTTCCATGGCGATAGGGCCTTCGCCTCGTCAGCAGAAGAAGCTGACTGGGACGAACAAAATGTAGACGGAGCATCGGAACAAGCCGGACCACTGCCTTACTGCTCAGTTGATATCCCGATGGACGAAGACAACCCCCGCGAAAGCATCAACGCCGAAGTCTACTACGACTTCGCCGACAACGGTTACGTTACACCTGCAAGGGTCAACACCGACGAAGCAGAACGCGTAGGACCCAATTTCTTACCTGATTCAGAAGCGGGACCCGAAGCAGTCTATCCTGAGGACGCAACTCTCCCTCGATACACACAGAGTGGACTGCAGATACTGGGCCTCGTCATCGCCGTCCACGGAGCAGCACCGCCTAAGGAGCCTGCCATAGTTCAGCAGGCTCTGGGGGGGGAGCACAGAGAGAAATGGCGCGAAGCCATGGACAGAGAACTAAAAGCATTAGAAGACCAAAACACCTGGAAGATTGTGCCCATCGCCCTGGCACGCAACAAGACCATACTCACCGGAAAATGGGTCTTCCGTGTGAAGACAAAGGCATACGGGACGATCAACGAGTTAAAAGCACGATGGGTCGTGCGCGGCTTCGACCAAGAACACGGACGAGACTTCTCCTCGCGATAGCCGCCATGAAGCGGAAGAAGCTCCGTCAAATCGACGTAGCCAATGCATTTCTTTACGCATCCGTCGACGTCGAAATCTTTGTTGAGCAGCCACACGGTTCCAACACAGACCCTAAAAAGGTCTGTCAACTGCTGAAATCCCTGTACGGCATCAAACAAGCCCCGAGACTGTGGCAGCAGTACCTACACGCCCGACTAATCCGCATCGGATTCTGCCAACTACCGCACGACCAAGGCATGTACCGACTCACGAAAGGCACCGACTACATTCTGCTCATCATCTACGTGGACGACCTGCTCTACATCGGCTCAACCGATGGCATCACGTGTTAAATTGTAATGTGTTATATGTTGGTAGGCTGTAGTGGGGTAGCCAATATGGGGTACAACCCCAACTAGGGTTTGCTACTTGTACCCAACTGTTTCATTCAATGCACCATTCTTGCCTAGTCTTGTTGACATGGTATTCAGAGCAGGAGGTCCCTAGGACCTACCGACCGTTTTTTAGGGCCCACCACCGCTCGCATGCGGTTACCACGCTACCCCGTGCCCTAGCCTCGTAGCGCCCTCGTTAGCGCCCTCGCGCGCCCTCGTTAGCGCCCTCGTGCGCCCTCGTTAGCGCCCTCGCGCGCCTCTCGTTAGCGCCCTCGTTAGCGCCCCTCGTTAGCGCCCTCGCCCGCCGCGCTGCTCGTCGCGCCGCCCGTAGCGCTGCCCGTTGCGCCGTGCGTCGCCAGCTGCGCTGCCCACCGCGCAGCCCGCCGGCCGCGCCATCCGCCGGGCTGCCCGCCAGTAGCGCCGCCCATCCGTCGCGCTACCCGCTCGCACTGCCCGCCCGCCCGCCGCGCTGCCCGCTTGCAGCGCCGCCTGCCCGCCGCGCTGCCCGCTCGCAGCGTCGCCCGCCCGCCGCGCTGCCCACCTGCAGCGTTGCCTGCCCGCCGCGCTGCCCGCTTCGTAGCCCGCCCGTACGCCGCGCTGCCCACTTGCAGCGTCGCCTGCCCGCCGCGCTGCCCGCTTCGTAGCCCGCCCGCCGCGCTGCCCGCTCGCAGCGTCGCCCGCCCGCCGCGCTGCCCGTTTGCAATGCCGCCTGCCCGCCGCGCTACCTGCCACGCTGCCCGCTTGCAGCGCCGCCTGCCCGCCGCGCTACCTGCCACGCTGCCCGCTTGCAGCGCCGCCTGCCCGTAGCGCCGCCTGCCCTGCTGCAGCTGCTTGCTTTGCTCTGACGTGTTGTCGCGATGGCTTCCATCCGCGTGCTGTCCTTCGATGCTGAGGGCCGCCCTGTGCAGTTCACCACTTGGCTAGATGACCTGCAGCTGTTCCTCCTGAGCGATAGCAAGGAGCACGTGTCACTCTATGATTACGCATCTGGTGCTGCGCCTGCCCCTCCTGCCACAGCCGAGCTTAGTGCCCGTTCCCACTGGCAGACGCGTGACGCTGCTGCTCGCCTAGCCATTCGCAGTCACCTGCCGTTAGCTGAGCTCGAGCATTTTGGCGACTGCAAAACCGCTAAGGCCCTTTACGACGCTGTCGTTGCTCGCTACTCCTCGCCTGCCACAGCCGAGCTTAGCCACCTCATGCTGCCTTACCTGTTTCCTGAGCTGTCCACTTTTGCTACAGTCGCCGATCTTATCACCCACCTTCGCACTAGTGACGCTCGCCTGCGTGCCGCCCTTCCCACCGAGTTCTGCGCTAAGAACCCCCCTCCACTGTACTGGACACTCCACTTCATAGTCACCCGTCTCCCTGACACCCTCAGCTCAGTGCGCGACTATTTCCTTGCTCGCTGTCCCACTGAGCTCACTGTCGCCCTCCTAGAGGAGAAGCTGCTAGCAGCCGAGAAGAGCATTGTAGCTGTAGGTGCTGCTCGCGGCGCTCCTCGCACCCCCATCTTTGAGGGGTGTTCTCCCTCTCCCCTCGCTCCCTCCTATGCTACTGCTGCTGCTGTTGACTTCCTTGGTGCTGAGTCTGCTGGCGCTGCTTCTGCTCCTGGTGGGAGGCGCCGCACCGGCAAGGGCAAGGGGGGCAAGGGTGGCGGGGGTGGCGCTGGGGGGGGAGGGGGTGGGGGAGGTGGGGGGGGAGGCGGTGCTGGAGGGAGCGGTGGCGGGAGTGCTGGTGGGAGTGGGGTCGGCAGCGGAGGCGGGGGCGGCGGAGGGAGCGGTGGCGGTGGTGGCAGATGTGGCGGTAGCGGCGGTGGCGGTGGCGGCGGTGGCGGTCGGAGCGGAGGTAGTGGCGGCGGTGGAGGTCGGAGTGGAGGCACCGGCTCGGGCCAGATCTTCCAGCAGCAGCAGCGTCCCCAGACGACCCAGCAGCTTCGTGAGTGGCTTGCTCAGCGTGGGACGTCGGGGGGCAGTGGCCGCTGTTCCTATGTCATTCGCACAGGTGATCGCAAGGGGCAGAAGTGTGGGAAGTTCCACACCCAGTACCGCTGCTTCTTCCGCCTTGACGACGCTTGGCGTGAGGAGATGGGCGAGGATGTTGAGCGCCCCCGCTGGGCTGAGCTGATGAGGGCTGGTGTTGATATCTTTGCTCTTGACTATGATGCTATTATTGCTGCCATGTATGCATTGACTGTTAGTGCCGAGGGAGACTGTTACTTGTGTGTGCCGCCTGACCCAGGTATAGAGCCCGCTGCCCTGGGTACTAGTGAGTCTGCTCTCTCTGGTATGGTGCCCCCTGTACTTGCTCCCTCCAGTGCTGTCCCGGCTGTTTGCGAGTCTGCTCTCTCAGGTACAGCACCCACAGAGACTGCTCTCTCAGGTACCGCACCGGCTGAGGCCTGTCACACCTTCACCCTTGACTCAGGTGCTTCCCGTTGCTTCTTTCGTGACAGTACTGAGCTCACACCGCTTCCTGCACCGGTCCCAGTCTCCTTGGCTGACCCCTCTGGGGGCCCAGTCCTTGCCCAGTCCACCACTGTCCTCCCTTGTCCGGCGGTTCCGTCTGGCTCGTTGTCGGGTTTCCACCTCCCCTCGTTCTCGACGAACCTGGTGAGCAACGCTGTCCTCCAGGATCAGTGGGTTGACACCTTTACCCCTGGAGGACAGCGTGTGGCAATCCTCACGTGCTCCAGGACCGGCCGTCACCTGGCTACGTTTACCCGTCAGCCGGGGTCGAGTCTCTACACACTGACCACTGTCCCTCCTCAGGTCGCTGCTGTCGGTCAGGTGTCCGCGTCAGGTCTGGTAGCCCACGCCTGTGAGTGTCGTTCCCTGTCGCACCAGACCCTTCTCTGGCACCACCGCCTGGGTCACCCCTCCTTGCCACGCCTTCGTGGCATGCACCGTCGCCACCTTGTGTCTGGTCTTCCCAGGTCCCTCCCTCCTCTCCCTTCCTCGCCTGCGCCGCCTTGCCTTCCTTGCGTCGAGGGGCGGCAGCGCGCCGCTCCTCACTCCTCCTCGTTCCCCCCGACAGAGGCTCCTCTGCAGACCCTCCACCTGGACGTGTGGGGCCCAGCCCGCGTTCGTGGCCAGGGCGGTGAGTAGTACTTTTTGCTGGTTGTCGACGACTACTCGCGTTACACCACGGTCTTCCCCTTGCGCACCAAGGGTGAGGTCCCTGCTGTTCTGATCCCTTGGATCCGCACAGTTCGTCTCCAGCTCCGCCGCCGTTTCCGGACAGATCTTCCTGTCCTGCGTCTGCACTCTGACAGAGGTGGTGAGTTCTCATCCGACCTCTTGAGGACCTTCTGTCAGGCGGAGGGCATCGAGCAGACCTTCACGCTTCCAGACTCCCCACAGCAGAATGGGGTTGCTGAGCGCCGCATTGGCCTGGTCATGGAGGTCGCTCGTACCTCCTTGGTCCATGCGGCGGCTCCCCATTTTCTGTGGCCGTTTGCTGTCCGGTACGCCGCGCATCAGCTCAACCTCTGGCCCCGTGTCTCCTTGCCGGAGACCTCGCCCGCACTGCGTTGGACGGGGGAGGTTGGCGATGTGTCGCGCTTCCGGGTGTGGGGTGCTCGTGCCCTTGTCCGCGATACGTCCGCGGACAAGCTCTCCTCCCGCACGCTTCCCTGTGTCTTCCTTGGCTTTGTCCCTGACGCGCCTGGCTGGCAGTTTTACCACCCCACCTCGCGCTGTGTCTTCGCCTCTCAGGACGTCACCTTTGACGAGTCGGTCCCTTTTTACCGTCTCTTCCCCTACCGCACTGCCCCCCTCCCTCCCCCGCCGCTTTTCCTCGCTCCTGGTCCCCCTCCGGTAGACCCCCTTCCCCCTCAGGGTCCTGCTCCTTCAGGTGTCTCTCAGGTAGACCCTCCTCCCGTCGCTGAGCCTGTCGAGGTCACAGGTGACTCAGGTGCTGCTGCGGGTGGTGCTGCTGGGAGTGCTGAGCCTGGGGGTGCTGAGCCTGGGGGTGCTGGGCCTGGGGGTGCTGGGGCTGCGGGTGCTGGGACTGAGGGTGCTGGAGCTGAGGGTACGGTGCCTGAGCGTACGGAGCCTGGGGGTGCTGAGCCTGGAGGTACTGCGGCTGGGGGTGCTGAGCCTGGGTGTTCGTAGCCTGGGGGTGCTGAGCCTGGGGGTGCTGAGACTGGGAGTGCTGGGCCTGGGTGTACTGAGCCTGGGGGTGCCGAGTCTGTCAAACATTATATGTGTTGTGTTTGTGTAGGCTGTAGTGGGTTAGCCTATAGGGGGGTCACAACATTAGGGTTTCATATTTGTACTCACAATCCTTTCTAGTTCACCATTCCAGTCCGTTATCACTGACATGGTTTCAGAGCAGGTCCGTCGCTAGGACTGTTCTTAGGGCCCACCTACCTACCTACCTACCTACCTACCTACTGTGCGCCTCGTGCGCCTGCGCGTCCTAGAGCGCTCCTTACCTACCTACCACGCGCACGCAGCTCGCTAGCCGCCCGCGCGTGGCTTTCCTTTTTTTTTACCGCGCGCGCCGTACTAGCCGCTCGCGCGCGGCCGTTTTCACGCGTGCGCCCCGCCAGCTGCCCGCGCGCGCTTTATTTTCTTCGCGCGCGGCCCGTCGCGCTTTCTCCCCGCTGCCCGCGCGCCTTTGCGCTGCTGCCCGTGCGCCTCGTGGCCTCGCGCACTGCCCGCCGCTGCCCTGTGCGCCACGCTGACGCACCCGCTGCTGCAGCCGCCCGTCGCCTGCTCGCGCACGCCCCGCAGGCCCGCAGCCCGCCGTCGCAGAGGCCGCACGTCAGCAGCCGCCCGTCGCCTGCTCGCGCACGCCCCGCAGCCGCCCGTCGCCTGCTCGCGCACGCCCCGCTGCCCGCAGCCGCCCGTGCGCCGCTGCCACTGCCGCACGTGCGCATACGCAGCTGCCGCCCGTGCGCTGCTTCCGCTGCTGCTTGCGCACCGCCGCCTCCTGCCGTCGCCGCACGTGCACTGCTGCCGCCTGTGCGCCGCCGCTGCCCGTGTGCCGCCGCTGCCCCTACGCTGCCGCTGCCCATGCGCCGCTGCTGCCCGTGCGTCGCTGCCGCTCGTGCACCGCTCGCAGCCGCTGCCGCCCGTGCGCTTCTGCAGCCGCCGCCCGCGAGGCGCTCGCTCCCACTGTTTTTTCTACCTACCGCGCACACTGCTGCCGCTGCAGCTGCCACCAGTGCGCCGTTGCAGCTCCTGCTGCCACGCTCCCTACTACTGCCGCTCGTGTGCCACTACGGACAGTCGACCCCGCCCGCGCCTTACCTAGCGGCCCCGCCGGCCCCGTTGACCCTACGCACACCTTTCCAGCGGCCTAGTTCCTACTCCTACTACTGTCACTATGGCTAGTCCTCCCGTTCTAGCTTTCGATGCCGAGGGCCGTCCGGTGAAGTTCGAAACCTGGCTAGATGACCTGCACCTGTTCCTACAGCTCACTGCCAAAGAAGACATCTCGCTGTACGACCACGCCCTAGGCCATGCTACTGCCCCTGACACGTCTGCTGACAGCACTCTACGCTCTCAGTGGCAGACTCGTGATGCGCACGCTCGCTTTGCTATTCGCAACTCCCTGCCGCTAGACGAGCGCGAGCACTTCGGCCAGTGCAAGACTGCTAAGGACCTCTACACCGCTGTAGTTGCCCGTTACTCCTCACCCGCTTCTGCTACGCTAGGCCGCCTCACTCTCCCCTACCTGTTCCCCGACCTAGCCTCCTTTCACACTGTCGCAGACCTCATCACCCACCTTAAATTTAGTGAGGCCTGCTTTCGCGCTGCTATGCCTGCCGAGTTTCTCACTAGCAACCCCCCCCCGCTCTGGATCACTCTCTACCACATCGTCACCCGCCTCCCTGACTCTCTGCGCGCAGTCAGGGACCACTTCCTCTCTCGCTCCCCCACTGAGCTCACTGTTGCCCTCCTCGAGAAGGAACTGCTTGCAGCTGAGGCGAGCATCGTCGCTGTAGGCACCTCTCGTGGCGACCCCCGCACCCCGTTCTTCGAGGGGTGTTCCCCTTCCCCCCTCCTCCCCTCTGTCGCCTCTGCTGCTGCTGTCGACCTCCTTGGTGCTGAGAAGGTCGGGACAGCGTCTGCTTCGAGCGGGCGCCGCAGGAGCAAGGGAGGCAGGGGTGGGGGTGGTGGCGGAGGAGGTGGGGGTGGAGGCGGTGGGAGTGGAGGCGCGACTGGGGAGGCTAGTGGCGGCAGTGGGGGAGGAGACAGCAGCGGCGGGAGCGGTGGCAGGGGTGGAGGCGGCAGCGGAGGTGGAGGTGGTCGTGGCGGCGGCAGGGGTGGAGGTGGCCGAGGCGGTGGTGGTGGCGGTGGTGGTCGTGGAGGCACTGGCGGAGGCCCGAGTCAGCAGCCCGCCCCGACGCTTCAGGCCGCCCGTGAGTGGTATGCGCAGCGTGGCTTTACCTGCACGTACGTCATTCGCACAGGTGACCGCAGCGGCCAGCAGTGTGGGAGGCCGCACCCCACGCACCGCTGCTTCGCGCGCCTTAACGACACGTGGCGCACCCAGTTTCCTGATGCCGCTGAGCTGCCGCGCTGGGCTGATCTGGAAAAGAGGGGTGTTGATATTTGGGCTCTAGACTTTGATGCTATTCTCACTGCCATGTATGCCATGTCTATTAGTGGAGAGGGTGCTCAGTACTTGCGTGTTCCGCCCGACCCGGGCATTCAGGCCAGTCCGGCTGCCGCTCTAGGTGCTAGTGCGTCTGCTCCCACAGGTCCTGGTGAGGCTGCTGCCCTAGGTGCTAGTGCGTCCGTGCCCCCTGGTACTGAGTTGACTGCAGCACTGCACACCTTCACACTGGACTCAGGTGCCTCTCGCTCTTTCTTTCGTGACCGCACTGTCCTTGAGCCACTCGCTCGGCCAGTTGCTGTCTCCCTTGCTGACCCCTCTGGGGGTCCGGTCATTGCGACCTCCTCCACTGTTCTTCCTTGTCCTGCGGTCCCGTCCGGCACGCTTTCAGGTCTCTACCTCCCCTCGTTCTCTACGAACTTGGTGGCGGGTAGTGCGCTCCAGGACTCGGGTGTTCACCAGTTCACCCCTGCCTACGAGCGCGTGACACACTGCACATGTGCTCGGACGGGTCGCCACCTGGCTACTTTCACTCGAGAGCCGGGGTCGGACCTGTACACACTGACCACTGAGTCCCCTCAGGTAGCTGCGTCTGCGTCTACGTCTGCGTCTGCGTCAGGTCAGCTGTCCGCCCCCTGCTCGTGTCGCTCTCTGGCGCATGAGACTGTCCTTTGGCACCACCGCCTTGGTCACTCGTCTGTGCAGCGCCTTCGGGCCATGCACAAACGGGACCTTGTTGCTGGTCTTCCCAGGGTGCTCCCTCCCCTTCCCGACTCGCCTGCTCCTCCCTGTATTCCCTGTGTCGAGGGGCGGCAGCGCGCCGCTCCTCACTCCTCCTCCTTTCCCCCGACGACTGCTCCCTTGCAGACGCTCCACTTGGACGTGTGGGGCCCAGCCCGCGTCCGTGGACAGGGTCAGGAGCGGTACTTCCTGCTCGTTGTTGACGACTTCTCGCGCTACACCACGGTCTTCCCCTTGCGAGCCAAGGGTGACGTACCTGATGTCTTGATCCCTTGGATCCGCAGATCTCGTCTCCAGCTCACCAGGCGTTTCCGCTCCGACTTTCCTGTCCTGCGTCTGCACTCTGACAGAGGTGGGGAGTTTTCCTCTGGCCTCCTGGAGGCCTTCTGTCAGCAGGAGGGCATTGAGCAGTCGTTCACGCTTCCGGCCTCTCCACAGCAGAATGGGGTTGCTGAGCGCCGCATTGGTCTAGTCATGGAGGTCGCTCGTACCTCCTTGAGTCATGCGGCTGCCCCCCATTTTCTGTGGCCGTTTGCGGTCCGATACGCTGCGCATCAGCTCAACCTCTGGCCCCGTGTCTCCTTGCCCGAGACTTCTCCGACACTGCGTTGGACGGGAGAGGCTGGCGATGCGTCGCGTTTTCGGGTCTGGGGATCCCGAGCTTTTGTCCGCGACACGTCCGCGGACAAGCTCTCCCGTCGCGCTGTCCCCTGCGTCTTCCTTGGCTTTGTCCCGGACGCCCCTGGTTGGCAGTTCTACCACCCCACCCCGCCTCTCAGGACGTCACTTTTGACGAGTCCGTCCCCTACTACCGCCTCTTCCCCTACCGCACTGCCCCGCTCCCCCCCCCGCCTCTCTTCCTCGCTCCAGGTGCTGAGGTACCAGACCCCCTCCCCCCTCAGGGTGCCGCTCCCTCAGGTGTGTCCCAGGTAGACCCGGGTGAGCCTGTCGAGGTAGCTGTTGACTCTCGTCCTGCGTCTGGGGGTGCTGAGCCTGGGGGTGCTGAGTCTGGGGGTGCGGAGCCTGGGGGTGTTGAGCCTGGAGGTGCGGAGCCTGGCGGTGCGGAGCCTGGAGGTGCTGAGCCTGGGGGTGCGGAGCCTGGGGGTGCTGAGTCTGGGGGTGCTGAGACTGAGCGTGCTACACCTGGAGGAGCCCTCTCCTCCCAGCAGCTGCAGGAGAGGTACCTCGAGTACTGCCGCCTCCGGAGAGGTGCTGCTGGAGCTCGTCCCGGTACTTCCCCTCCTACCTAGGAGCTCCCCCCCATTCAGCAGATCCGAGAGTGGTACACACGCCGCTGCAGTCTTCGGAGTGGTCCTCCGGGTGCTGAGGACCCGAGCGGTGGCGCTGCTGCTTGTGCTGAGGACCCGGGCGCTGGAGCTGCTGCTGGTGCTGAGGACCCGGGCGGTGGAGCTGCTGCTGGTGCTGAGGACTCGGACGTTGGAGCTACTGCTGGAGCTGGGGACCCGAGCGGTGGAGCTGCTGCTGGAGCTGAGGACCCGGCTGGTGGAGTTCCTGCTGGTGCTGCGGACCCGAGCGGTGGCGCTGCTGCTGGTGCTGCGGACCCGGGCGTTGGAGCTACTGCTGGAGCTGAGGACCCGAGCGGTGGTGCTGCTGCTGGTGCTGAGGACCCGGCCGGTGGAGCTGCTGCTGGTGTTGAGGACCCGGACGTTGGAGCTGCTGCTGGTGCTGAGGACCCTGCCGCTGGTGTCTCTGCTGGTTCTGGAGACGCTACGCGGCCGCGACCGTACTTCGTACCACTTCTTCAGCAGGTTCTTGGTCAGGCTCCTCCTCCCTGTCCTCCTCC